CCACCCTCAGAACCCCTGCAAACTTGCTGCTGTTTCTTTCCTCTTCAACACTGTAGCTCAGTCTCCCTTCCGACTTGACTCACTCTCAGCTGGCTTTGCTTCAGACCCCCCTCTTCTGGGAAGATTCTCCATCCACCCCCTGGGCCCTCCTCTGGACTCCATCTCTGTTTCAGATGCCATCAGATGATGTTGGTGTTTGTGTTGCTAATTGCAGCAACAATCCATTAATAATTCATGGTTTCTTGTTATTAGTGTGGCTAAATGGGAACTCTTCAGAGAACACACCCGGAGAGTTTCTCCATCCTCTGCTTAATTAGGGCGCTTAGTGAGGGGCCAAAGACAGTTAAAAGAGACTTGGTAGGAGCCCTCTGAAGACGTTCTCTCCAAAGATCTTTGGGGGTCATCAGGGTCCTGGCCTTTAGGTCAAACACCAGCTTAAATAATGGCCTTGTCCTCCTGCATCAGACACATTCTTCTCTCTCCTCCCCAGCATAAACTGTCAAAACCCGGAGATACTCAGATGCCTCCTGCAGAAGAGGAGGAAAGCTCTCCCGGGGGCTGTCTGGGAGACATGCAATTTCCACCTTTTCCAAGAGCCCATCATTCGTATTCTTTATAGGCCTTGTCTGTCCTCCTTGTTTTCCAAAAAAAAGCAATCAATCTTTGTATAATAACATTCTAGCCAGCGCCATAGGTTGTGGTGTGTGGTACACGCAGAGTCGACGTTGTCCTTTCAAGGGCTGACCTTTCTTGGATCAGCCATGCCATTTTAGAGGAAAATAATTCTAAAATGGATTTTACACTCTTCTGCCTTCTAAAACAGAGCGTGTAGAGGAGATTTAAGCCCCTTTCTTCATGGCCAAGTGGACTCCTCAACCCTAGTTCTTAGATGCTAAAGGCCTACTCTGCCATATTGGACTGTTTGGACCTTCTGCTAAATGGTTACAACCTGTTTTGCTGCTGCTGCTGCTGCTGCTTCTTCTTCTTCTTCTTCTTCTTCTTCTTCTTCTTCTTCTTCTTCTTCTTCTTCTTCTTCTTCCTCTTCTTCTTCTTCTTCTTTTTTGAGATGGAGTCTTGCTCTGTCACCCAGGCTGGAGTGCAGTAGCATGATCTTGGCTCACTGCAACCTCTGCCTCCCGGGTTCAAGCAATTTTCCGGTCTCAGTCTCCTAAGTAGCTGGAATTACAGGCGCCCGCCATCATGCCCAGCCAATTTTTGTATTTTTAGTAGAGACAGCATTTCACCATGTTGGCCAGGCTGGTCTTGAACTCCTGACCTCAGGTGATCTGCCTGTCTTGGCCTCCCAAAGTGCTGAGATTACAGATGTGAGCCACCGTGTGCCCAGAGTTATTATGTCTCCTTCCTCCTGCCAGACTGTCAGCAGTAGCTTGTACTGCTTCGGGCCAACAGCCTCTAGCAACCCTTTCCCTCCTCTTCACTGGTTCTGCTCCAAGAAGGGCCTGGAAACAAGTTCTTTGGGTTCATCTGACTGGTGGATAAGTAGTTCTGTGCACTTTTGTGGTTCATAAGCGTGATTGGGTTTTCACACTCATGTGTGACATGTACCTTCTTCCAACCTTGTTACAATGTTGATGCATTACCCATTACCCATCTGACATGGAGGAAGAAAGGGTCTTCATGACAGTGTTTTCTGTAGTCACAAACGGTGTGTACAGGGCCAAGGGAAAATTTCCCCTTTGCCTTTCGAAGGTTCACTGAAAAATCAACTGACCAGAGGTAGATCAATAGGAGGAAGGGCATACAAAATTTTATTTTAGTGTTCATGGCATAGGAGAATCGCAAGAGAATGACTACCCGATAACCCAATGGGGCACAGAAGCTCGTATACCCTTTTTTTCTCTTTCTTTTCCCTCCCTCCTCCCTCCTTCTTTCCTTTCTTCTTTCCTTCAAGTTTCACTCTTGTCACCCAGGCTGGAGTGCAATGGCACAGTCTGAGCTCACTGCCTCCTGGATTCAAGCAATTCTCCTGCCTCAGCCTCCCGAGTAGCTGGGATTACAGGCATGTGCCACCATCCCAGCTAATTTTTGTATTATTAGTAGAGACAGAGTTTCACCATGTGGGCCAGGCTGGTCTTGAACTCCTGACCTCAGGTGATCCACCCACCTCGGCCTCCCAAAGTGCTGGGATTACAGGTGTGAGCCACCGTGCCTGGCCTGTATACTTTTCTTCATACAGGAGGGAGGAGATATATGGACTAGGGAGGTGGGAGGCAGACATCACAGGAAGGTGAGGGGCAGAGCAGCATGGGAACAAAGGTTGTCTTATTAAGCAGATAGAGTCCCTCAGGTAATCTCTAGGAGCTGCCCTCAGAAGAAGAGATGAAGTCCATCTGGGTGTGGTGATGATTCCCAGTCTCATCTCTTCTCGTGGTTTGTCTTTCTTGGTAATTTGATGAGAACTCTAGGGAGGGTGTTTAAGATAACTGCATTTCTTTTGGAAAGATGCTTTCTCCATCAGATGAGGAAATTGCAGAGACAGAGAGAGAGTCCCTCCCTGTGCTTGGTGGTGGGGGTGTGGGGAACAAGAAGTTAGAGGGACCTTGTTTCAGAGGCAGCTTTTGAAGGCTCTCAGCATGTCAGAACATCAGGCTTTGGGGTCACTTTCTAAGCCCCAACCCTTGTAGGCATCTAAAATGACCATCAGAAGAATGCAGGACAAATACGCATTTGGTGCATGCACACAATGCAACGCTATGCAGCCCTTAAGTGAATGAGGTGGACCTATGTGCAGTAAAAGGGAATACTCCCCAATTGTTAATTGAAAAATACAGCGTACAGAACAGTGTTAATAGCGTGTTCCCGTTTTTTTTTTTTAAAGAGTGGGTAGACTTTGAGCAGGGACCCAAATAAAGTGAAGTTCACAAACTTGGTCATTTTGACTGCTCAGCAGAAGCCTTTCTCCTTCATTCCTGAATGTCAGGTGCGTTCTGAAATGCTTGCGCTTGCCATATAAGAAACTTCTAGAAACTTCAGGTACCATTGTTTTTCATTCAGCATTTTTTCGAGGTAGAGAAAGGCTATGGGAACCATGCAGGGAGGGAGCACAGAGTCTCACTGGAAGCATCTCTAGAAAAATCACAGATGCTATTCAGGTATCACACAGGAACCATGGGAAAGCCAAAGGACCCATATTTCCATGAAACAGGCTTGTTAATATGCTAACTGGATCTGAGGTGGGTTGAGGAGAGCCTGGGCTTTATCATCAGATGGGCCTGGGTTTAGCTTGCAACTCCGCCATTTTCCATCTGTATTTCCTTAGGTGAATTATCCATTCTGAGCTTGGAGTTCCTCATCTGTAAGACAAGGACAATAAAACCTACTTCACTGGTTTTGGAAGTGTCTGGTATAAAGCCTGGCTCATGGTAGATGCTCAACAAATGGCAGCTGCTTGACATTGTTTTATTATTTAATATCATCTAGGCCAGGCGTGGGATTCACACCTTTAATCCCAGCACTTTGCGAGGCTGAGGTGGGATGAACACTTGAGTCCAGGAGTTCAAGACCAGCCTGGGCAACATAGTGAGACCGCCATCTCTATAAATAAATAAATAAATAAGCTGGGTGTGGTGGTGTGCACCTGTAGTCCCAGCTACTTGGGAGGCTGAAGTGGGAGGATCATTTGCTCCTAGGAGGTCAAGGCTGCAGTAAGCTGTGATTATGACACTGTACTCCAGCTTGGGTGACATAGTGAGACCTTGTCTCAAAAAGAAAAAAGAAAAAAACTATGCTTTGCACTTTTAGGCAATTTCTGAGCTAGTAGAATTTGACTGGGAAGAAGCAGAAAAATGAGCCTCTTGCCTTTAATAAGTCTTTGGCAAAGGGAAGTCCCAGGGCTGTGCTCCCGCCTCTGTATCCATTATCTCTTGCAATGTTAAAAAAAAAAAAATCCTAAAACTTAGCAGCTTAAAACAATCAACACACATTTTCTTAGTTTCTGTAGGGCAGGAATTCAATGGTTTAGCTAGATGGCTCTGACTCAGGATCCTTCATGAGGCTGCAGTCAAGATGTCTTCCAGAGCCACAGTCAACCTAAGGCTTGTGTATTAGTCCTTTTTCACACTGCTAATAAAGGCATACTGAAACTGGGTAATTTATAAAGAAAAAGAGGTTTAATGGACTCATAGTTCCACATGGCTGGTGAGACCTCACAATCATGGCAGAAGGCAAAAGACACATCTTACATGGCAGCAGGCAAAGAGCAAATGAGACCCAAGCAGAATGGGATTCCCCTTATAAAACCATTAGATCTCAATGGACTTATTCATTACCAAGAGAACAGTATGGGGGAAGCCATCCCCATGATTCAATTATATCCCACTGGGTCCCTCCCACAACACATGGGAATTATGGGAGCTACAATTCAAGGTGAGATTTGGGCGGGGACACAGCCAAACCATGTCAGCTTGCATTTTTCATTCACTACCTCAGTTCCTCACTGCCATGAACCTCTGTAGAGGCCTGCTTGAATGTCCTTACACCACAACAGCTGGCTTATCCAGAGTGAGTAATCCAACAGACAGCAAGGCAGAAGCCACAGTGTCTTTTATAACCTGGCTTTGAAAATCACACGGCTTCATTTCTGCAGCATCCTGTCAGTTACACTGGTGAAGTCAGCCCTATTAGTGTAAGCGGGAGCTGCACAAAGACTTGACTTCTAGGATCCAAGTACCACTGGGGCTGTCTGGGAGGCTGCCTACTATACTCACTCTATAGAGATTGGTTTTGAGGGGCCTACAAGACTGACACAGTAAGTTAGTAACTAGGTGGGCGCGGGGGTTTCAGATCTCTTGGCTTGAGACCAGTGCACAACTTAGGCCAATGCAAGATGGCCTGAGACATAGGGATCAGGCTGATGATTTTGTCATAGGAGCAAACTCTGGATTCCTAAAGGAATCCCAGGCAGGCAGAGCTCTTGTCCCCTTCCCATCTAACGTGGGAGGGAACTGGGCTTCAAGAGTGTTTTGTCCTCTGACTTACAGATCCAGCTAGCGGGAGCAGCATTGACTGGGCTTATGATAACGGCATCAAATTTGCATTCACATTTGAGTTGAGAGATACTGGGACCTATGGCTTCCTCCTGCCAGCGAACCAGATCATCCCCACAGCAGAGGAGACCTGGCTGGGTCTGAAGACCATTATGGAGCACGTGCGGGACAACCTCTACTAGGCGACGCCCTGCTCTGTTTACATTTATTTGTGTGGCCCACACTGAGGCCACTCAGTTAAAGGAGCTCATTCCTTCCCGTGTGAGTCAGAGCCCTCTGGGTCTGTAGAGCACACAGGCCTGCCCCTCTCCAGCCAGCTCCCTGGAGTCGCGTGTCCTGGCGGTGTCCCTGCCAGGAGCAGTTCTGCCAGCCCGCTCAATTTTGGTCCCGCTGTCTTTGATGAGCCTTTTGTCTGTCTCTCCTTCCACACTGCTGGCTGGGCAGCATGTCTCTCTCTATCTCATTTTTTAGAACCAAAGAACATCTGAGATGATTCTCTAGCTTCACCCATATCTAGCCAAGCCAGTGACCTTGCTCTGGTGGCGCTGTAGAAGATGCCGCTTGTGTTTGGGTGGGTCTCAAAGATGACGCAGGATTACCTTTAATTAATTTCTCTCAGTCTTCCTGGAAAATATTTTTCTCTGAGCAGCAAATCCTGTAGGGCTATGAGTGTAGGTCTCTCCCTCCCTCCCCTCCTCTTTTAGGTCTGAATGCAACGTAGAAGACCACTTTCCATCACTGCGCTGAGAATTTCTAGATACTACAGTTCTTACCCCTCTCTTCGCTTAGTTATTCAGTGTGACCAGGTTGGTAGGAGGGAGCTGTGTCACTGTAGGTACTACTCACCCAGGAAGACTGGGTGAAGTGACAATCTAAATTGCAGGATGGCAAAATCATCCCTGTCTGTCCTAATGGGCTCACATCCACTCTGTCTTTTGAACTCACTTCAAAGATCTAGGCCTCATCTTACAGGTCCTAAATCACTCCTGTGGCCTGGATAATCTCACTGCCTGGCACAGTCCCATTTGGGCTCTGGGGCATTCTGTGTTTCCTTGTCGTGTGTGTGTGTGTGTGTGTGTGTGTGTGTGTGTCTCTATTTTGTATCCCAGACCACAAGTACCTAAGTAAAACAAGAATTCATCAAGCAGATGCCTCGTGTTTAATTTCACCTCAGCATGTACCATCTGTCCTTTTGTTGTTGTTGTTTTGTTTTTGTTTTTTTCAAACATGTCTGTAAATCTTATCCTCCTGCCTAGGATTTGTATAGCATCTGGTGTGTGCTTATAAGCCAATAAATATTCAATGTGAGTTTCACGATCATCTCCTATTCTTTGCCTTCACCTGAATAGAAGCAAGCCATGGTTTTGAATATGCAACTCTTTATAATGTCAGAAGTCGATTTTAATCCCTGTCTGTGTCTCATGACACGTAAGAAGTCCTCCTTCATCAGGCCGAGGGGCCTCCAGGGCATCGTTACCTTGGTGATTTCACTCTGGTCCCGGATCTGGTTCTTAGCTTTTCAGCTCAAAAGCTTGATAGTCTCAGTGTCCGTGTTGATTAAACTAGGGGATGCTGACTCACGCCTACAGAGCTCAGATGAAGCAGATGATAAAATCAGAATGCGAATTTATTAATTTACATTGTGGCATGTAACTGTTGAGTGGATTGGATCCTCACGTCGGCCTGAACAGAACATTCTCTCCCCGTAGGCAAGATACATGGGAAGCCAAATTATAATCAGAAGGTTGCTTAGTGAGCGGGCGTCAGAGCAAGGAAAGTTAATTAAAGTCTATGATTAGAATGTTTAATAGCACCCAGCTCTAATAGCATGATATATCCAGTTCTATAGCCAGAGCACACCTGCCAGCCAGCCAGCTGGTCACTTTTGCTGGCTGATCAGGGCTGCCTCAGACAGGGACGTGCCTTGGTGAGCATAACCAAGCTTGCCTCTGTGACTGGCCTGTAACCTGGCTCTAATTATGATCACTCCCCTCAGAGCGAGATTGTCCTTCTGATTCTTTAAGGGAAAGGTTTATTTAAAAATTTTATTATTATTTCTTTCTATAGAAAGATGGGACCTTACTATGTTGCCCAGGCTGGTCTTAAACTCCTGGCCTCAAGCAATCCTCCTACCTTGGCTTCCCAAAGTGCTGGGATTACAGGTGTGATCCACCACACCTGGCCAAGGGGAAGATTGCTTAAACAAGACATAAATGCCAGATACTATAATGAAATTAAGAACTTCTGTTCATTAAAAGATACTATAGAAAGGGAGAAAAGTTAAAGGCCAGGGAGGATATTCACCATATTCCTAATTCATGCAACAGACAAAAAATGTTTGAAGAACTTCAACAAATCCATAAAGAAAGCACAAATAACCCAATAGATAAATGGGGCAAAGGGACGTCCAAGCATTTCACATAAGAGGAAGCACAGGCTGTGCGCGGTGTCTCATGCTTGTAATCCCAGCACTCTGGGAGGCTGAGGTGGGAAGATTGCTTAAGCCCAGGAGTGAGAGACCAACCTGGGCAACAAAGTGAAACCCTTGTTTCAAAGAAAATAAAAACAAAATAAAAATAAAAAATTAGTTGAGTGTGGCGGCAAGTGCCTATAGTCTCAGCTATTCAGGGAGCTGAGGAGGAAGGATCACTTGAGCCCAGAAGTTTGTGATCAACTTCAACAACATAGTAAGACCCCGCCCCTAATATCTCTACAAGAAAGGGAAAAAGATTATCTGGGTGTGGTGGTGCGCACCTGTAGTCCCAGCTACTTAGGAGGCTGAGGTGGGAGGACTGCTTGAGCCCAGGAGTTTGAGGCTGCAGTGAGTTATGATCACACCATTGGACTTTAGCTTTGGTGACAGAGCAAGACCCTGTCTCCAAAAAAGAAAAAAAAAAAAAAAAAGAAGAAGCAGACATATCTGACCAACATATGAAAGGACATGCAAATCAAGACTGCAACGAGATGCCATTTTTATTTATTTAATTTTTTTGAGATGGAGTCTCACTCTGTTGCCCAGGCTGGAGTGCAATGGCACAATCTTGGCTCACTGCAACCTCCACCTTCCAGGTTCAAGTCATTCTCCTGCCTCAGCCTCCCAAGCATCTGGGACTATAGTCATGTACCACCACACCCAGCTAATTTTTGCATTTTTAGTAGAGACGGGGTTTTTTTTTTTTTTTGGCTATTTTGGCCAGGCTGGTCTTGAACTCCTGACCTCAAGTGATTCATCCGCCTCAGCTTCCCAAAGTGCTGGGATTACAGGCTTGAGCCATCACACCCAGCCTGAGATGCCATTTTAAAGTCATTCGATTTACAGAAATCAAAAGTTGGAGAGGATGTGGATGGCAGGGTCTCATAACTTATTGGTGGGCAGCTGAACTAGTAAAACCACTTCACAAAACAGTTTGGCATTATTCTCTCGAGTTTACACCTTATGATCCAGCTATTTCGCCCTAGGCATGACCTCAAGAAATTCTTGCAATTGTACAACAGGAGACATATACAAGAATGTTCGTAGCAACACTGTTCACATTAGTAAAACCTTAAAAATAACTCAGAAGACCATCAGTGGGAGAATGGGTGAAAAAGGTGTGGCACATTCACATACGGAGATATTATACAACAGTCCAAACCAAATTTCATATGATTTCCTTTCTAGAAAGATCCAAACAACTGAAAAAAAAGTATACTTTTAAAGAAGACATACAAATTTTGATGAAACTATATAAAAAGAGAAGCAAGCCACAGTGGACATGCCCAGACCCCTCTTACTGGTTGAGTGTACAGAGCCTCAGTGGCTGTCAAGTACTTGATGCCAATGTTCACCGCTGCATCCCTCTCTAGAGAATTGCCCTTGGCCAATTAGGGGTTGCCTCACCCACGAGGCTACGCACTTGCTTTTTCTTGTACCATTGTCCCAAATGTCCACCCATGACAGACTGGCTCAGGAGTACACACAGCTAGCTCTTTGCCTCAAGGTGGGATCAACACTTTGGTGCAACGAATGTTCCAGAGCTCCCTTGGGGTGGTGGGGCTAGAGCTCCAGATGATTTCAGTCAAGTCGTCCTTGCTTATCGTTTTTTTCTGCCCCGCCTGTCTCCCTCACTCTCCTCCTGAGACCATTCCCCTTCATATCACTTGCATAAGACTCTCCATCGTGGGTTCTGCTTCTAGAGAGATTGACTAGGACAACAGGAAAGGAACCTGGGATTCCAGAATGATGAGTCCTTCAAATGCGGAAGGGCAGAGGATGAGAGAAGGACAGGGCCCTGTGGCTGGAGGACGAACCTTAGCTTTTGTTTTAGATTCTGTTTTCTCAGGTGTTTATTATGTGATTTTATTTTTTTTAAGTAGAGATGAGGGTCTCCCTATGTAGTTTAGGCTGGTCTTGAACTCTTGGCCTCAAGTAGTTCTCTTGCCTTGGCCTCCCAAGGTACTGGGATTGCAGGTGTGAGCCACTGCACTACGTCTATTATATGATTTTTTGAAAAAACCTAATTAAGTAGCTAAATAAATTATTAAAAGAGGACCATGCGTAGATCAATGATAAGTGAGCCACTAACCATGGATTGTAATTACTTCTACGGACTTGAAAGCCAATTTTAAAAATGTGTATAAAGGGCCGGGCGTGGTGGCTCACGCCTGTAATCCTAGCACTTTGGGAGGCCGAGGCGGGTGGATCACGAGGTCAAGAGATCGAGACCATCCTGGTCAACATGGTGAAACCCCGTCTCTACTAAAAATACAAAAAATTAGCTGGGCATGGTGGCGCGTGCCTGTAATCCCAGCTACTCAGGAGGCTGAGGCAGGAGAATTGCTTGAACCCAGGGGGTGGAGGTTGCGGTGAGCCGAGATCGCCATTGCACTCCAGCCTGGGTAACAAGAGCGAAACTCCGTCTCAAAAAAAAAAAAAAAATGTGTATAAAGATGCTAATTTTAAACAAAAATTGTACTATTCAACATGCATTTATTGAGTACCTACTATGTACCAGAGACAGTTCCTTTTTCTTTTTTTTTTTGGAGGCAGGGTTTGGCTCTGTCCTAAGGCTGGAGTTCAGTGGGGGCAATCATCGCTCACTGTAGCTTTGAACTCCTGGGCTCAAGCGATCCTCCCACCTCAGCCTCCCAAAATGCTGGGATGACGGGCACAAGCCCCCACGCTTGGCTCCTGAGACAGTTTTAGATAGTTGTTTGCAATGGCAAACAAAAAGACAAAATCTGTTATTGCATGAAATTTCATTGTAGTTGGAAAGACAGGAAGTACTCAAGTAAACAACTTAATTAAGACATTAATTTAGGTAAGAAGAGCTGCTATCAATAAAAGAAAACAGATCAGGAGAGTGATGGGTGTTAGGGGAGCCTGTCTAGATCTGGAAGGCTAGGGAAGGTAGTATTATAAACTATTCTTTTTTGTTGTTGTTGTTGAGACAGAGTCTCCCTCTGTCACCCCAGCTGGAGTGCAGGGACACAACCACAGCTCACTGCAGCCTTGACTTCCTAGACTCAAGCAATTCTCCTACTTCAGCCTCCAGAGTTGCTAGGCAATTTTTTTTTTTAAACAAATCTTTTGTAGAGATGGGGTCTTTCTATGTTGCCCAGGCCGGTCTCAAACTCCTGGGCTCAAGTGATCCTCCTGCCTTGGCCTCCCAAAGTGCTGGGATTACACACATGAGCCACCATGCCTGACAACGACTTACATTTCTAAAACACATTTAAGTTTGAAAAGCTGTCATACAGCTGGGCAAGGTGGCTCACGCCTGTAATCCCAGCACTTTGGGAGGCTGGGGCGGGTGGAACAAGAGGCCAGGAGTTCAAGACCAGCCTGGCCAAGATGGTGAAACCCCGTATCTACTAAAAATACAAAAATTAGCCACGCATGGTGGCAGGCGCCTGTAATGCCAGCTACTCGGGAGGCTGAGGCAGAGAATTGTTTGAACCTGGGAGGTGGAGGTTGCAGTGAGCCAAGATCATGCCACTGCACTCCAGCCTGGGCAACAGAGCAAGACTCCGTCTCAAAAAAAAAAAAAAGAAAGAAAAAGAAAGGCTTTCATACCTTATCACATCAGTCTGTAGGGAATTTTCCACCAGTTAGACATCAATGAGGATAGAAAAAGGATAATCTATCAATCATGGGAAGAATGTCTTGAGTTCTCTGTTTTTGCAGTACTGGGGAGGAGGGGTTTCTCTACGCCACCTCCAGGTGTTGCACCCAGTTCTCTTGGGGACCAAAAGAAGATCTTTGTGAAGTAGCTGACAGAATGAGGGATATATCTGGGATTCGCTGGGGTCCACACGTTGTCCACTTGACATCA